AAGTTGAAACATAATCAAATTAGTCCCAGACAACAATCACACTTATTTGTCCTGGAATATCTCTTATTCACCATTGAGCGTTAGTATGTTCAGAATCAACAAGAAATGAATAGAAACTAATTGGTTATTTGCGGTAGACTGCAATATAAATCGTGGACAATAATCTCCTTAATATTACAAATCACAACAAAGCCCGAACAGAAGATAAATTATCAAGGATCTGTTTGGTTTGGAATTTCGGTCGTTTCCGACTCAAGATGGATGATATGGGTTACATTATAGTTGTGAAACCTATATATATTTATAAGTTGCTTCCGAGGGTAATTTAGAGTAATTTACCGTTACTGATCGTATGAAAAATACTATATCTGGAGATTTGGATGTTCCAAAACAATGGTGTGACGCAAACTACTTAAGCTCTAACATAAAAAAAAACTCACCCACCTTCAACTCTATCATCGAAAATTTGTAATTAAATGGACATCTCATTATCCAAATTCCTGGAAATCTTGTTTGATAATGAATTAAAATTTGACCATCAGGATGTTATGCACTCCAAATTGTTTCAAATGAACTGAGTTCATCCACAACCAAAATGGTATATCATTCTCTCATTGAGTATCGCTTGAGATTTGAGATATGGTGGCCTTCTGGGGATTTTGCAGTTAACAACTCTCTCATTCAGTGTTTGTTCTGCAAAAGCGAGCGATGAAGATACTTATGCAAGGTGGGAGTACGTGATCCATGTAGACCTTCATTTATTAGAATCAATCAAGAAGTAATTCTTATTGACGAAGTAAGTGTAATTTTATAAAGTGAGAAATATTAAAAATATAAAATTATATGAAATATAATGAAAAATCATTATAGAGTTAAAACATGTGTACCTAAACGAATATAAATATAAATATAAAAATAAATAAAACATTACAGAAAATATATCAAACATTACAGATAAATAAATAAATAACGCAATCCAGATAAGTAAGCAACGGAAGTACTAAGCTTTAAAATTCATCAGTGTAATATTCTTTCAAGTCATAGTAGGCTTTTTGCAGAAATACCTCTTTAACTGATTCCCTGAACTTTTTTAAATTTGTTATTTCCCTCTGTAGTACATTGGGAGGTGGTTATATATTTTCTTGCTCTCATATATCAAAGAAAATTTTGTAATTGCTAATTTTGGTATTGGCAGGGGTAGATCCCGACTTCCTCTTGTTATACGTTAGTTTAAATAAACTCAAAGTTTCACAAACTCACGTAGTCGAAACAGTTAAGTCACAACAAAGAACTGGCGACTTGTGCACCCTTATACATAATAATCTGAGTGCTTGGGAATTATTTGGATCTCCGCCTGACTGGCGTTGCCATATGGCAACGCACGGTGCTAATGGGATAACCTTACAATATAATATATGGATATGAATTATTTCATAAATACTGAATACTCTGTCGAGTTCCTTGTAAAGAAATATATTTCCACCAACTCTAGTGGAATGAAGTTAGTCAATACGGTATTTTGTATTTCATTCAGCGTATCTATAGCGTCAATTAAAAACCGAAGAATTTTCAGATACCCAATAATTGATGAAGCTCTCGTGGTATTATGAATGAATTTTTTTGTTGATTTCGAACAAAGGCATGCCTGTCGAATAATTAAAAAGATTCATCAATATAAAAGCTACGCGTGACTACCATATTGAAAAAAGTATTGTGAGTAGGAATGTCCTTTGTGGTCCCGTTCTCTATTTCGTGTTCCTCCTCAAATCCTGCTGGAATTAACTTTTTGTCCTAGTTTCCCATGCGTTCGATAATCCTGCTTAGCGAAATCCTCATTTTCCTCAAATACGTTATATCGTTCCTGAAACGGCGGTTTCGATTGAATACGCTAGATGGCGCCAGCTACAGTCAACAGATTATTGACTTTTCATTTTTTTCAATGAAAATCCAGCTTGTCTGTCGAGATTTCTCTTCACATTGTTCGCTTTCAGGAAAAACTTACTTCGGAGACTCATAGAGGGCGCCATAGATAAGGATTCGCGAGGTTTTACCAACCTTGAGGATTTCAATATTTTAGTGGCCCCTACTTCATTTTCGATAGGATCGCCCTGATGACTGAGTGGCTTGCGTATTTCTACGGCCAATGGTTCCCAACACGGTCAGAAACTTCATAAAAATGTACCCTGAGATAATTGTTTCGCCGCAGATTCACACACAATATACGTATACAGTGTGTCCCACTTACCATGCTCACCATGGATATCTTTTTAACGGTGAGAGATACGAGGTCGGTTAAATGACACCAAATATGGAGTTTGTCAAGGCCAACTATAATGTGAAGAATATTTTGATAAAATCTATCCGTTTTTGTTTTATACGCAAAAAACAGATTTTGATCATTTTCATGTCTCCTCCGTAACTTCTTTATTTATGAAAATATTCCAATAGGAATTTCACATTCTCATGGCAGTTTTTCAGAGTGATTTCAAAAAAAATATGAAATTTATACCAACTCTTCTAGAATTTGAGATATCAGCACCAACTTTAGTTTTTCAAATGTAGGTCATAGCTCACTATGACTTAGTAACAAATAACTTTTCTTTCTCTTACAGATGATATGTCGCAGTAATAGTTTTGTGTTGATAACAACGGAGTTATCGTCATTAATACAAAAACAAAAAATTATTTGGAAGCCGCCATCTTGAATTTATCAATTTTAACGAGAAAATCATGATCTCCGACCTCAAAAACCCCCATTTACCAATTTTGAATGGAATCGGACCAAATCTTGTCCGCCATCTTGGAGCAGCCATTTTTTTTAATTTTAACAAAAATTCCATAATATATTGTCATCAAAATTATAAACACCTGCCAAATTCCGAGCTAATCGGGGTAATGGAATTTTTGTTGAAATTAAAAAAATGGCTGCTCCAAGATGGCGGACAAGATTTGGTCAGGGGCGGATTCAAGGGGGGGGCCATGGGGCCATGGCCCCCCCCTCAGGAACCTCATGGATATGTAAAAATGTAGGTATTTTGAATAAATGAAAAAATTAGTGTATATGTCTTTATAGCTAGAAACTTCGCAATAGTTCTGAGGAATTGCAAATTGCTGTTTGGCAAATATGTTTTCGATAACACTGCCACTCAGTAATTTGCTCCAAACAAAAAACTTAGACAAAAAACAAGCTAATGAGTTAGTATCACTCTTCTGATGACGCATCAAAATAAAAGGGATGATATTCTAAATACTATCTAAGTATTTTGAATGAAGCCAAACAGGAATTGAAAGAACTGAATGTTGAATTTTCGATGCCGAGAATAACAGGGAGACTGGTTCATAGACCGAATCCTACGGTTTCCTCATTGGATGACCATTACAGAATAACTATTTCATCCCAGTATTATCCTTCATCTGAATGATAGACTATCAGAAAATAAATAGAATCCATACAACCTTCACCTTTGTGTGCCATCAATAACTAAAAACAAAACAGATGAGGGAATATATGAGGTTTGAGAGATATACTTCAACAGTTTCCGACCATTTTTGAGGAGAATGATGAAATATCCTTTCAGAAGATCGTTTCTGAAATTTATATATGGAAGAAAATGTGGGATACCAAGCAAAATATACCAAACAATGGTATAACTGCCCTGAAGGGATGTAACAAACCGTAACAAACATTTGTTTCCTAACATAAACATTCTTCTGGAACCATTATGTTGCCTGCCTGTAAGTGTTGCATCTTTTGAAAGAAGTTTTTCAACACTCAGAAGGCTGAGAGATTGGATAAGATCCAGAATGGTCCAAGACAGGTTAAATGGATTGGCATTGATGCATATTCACAGGGGCATCTGCAGCAGTCTGAATGTTGATGATATCATCCAAAGATACGTTAGGCAGAAGAATAGAAGACTGGAATTTGTTTTCTTCATTCTATATATTCTTATTTTTGTCTGTTTCATTCGTTTTGTTTTTCAAAAGAAATATTTTTATTCACTTTTGAACCCAAGCTCTTCAAGAGAAATATTTTTTTATTAATTTTTTTTATCCAATGTGATTTATCAAGAATTCTACATATATTGATGGAATAAGAATAGTTTGAACTTGTTTTTTTATGCCAGTAATTTCGATACTTGAGAGGAAACTAAAGATTTCATGTTTTCTATAATCAATTTTTTTAATGAAAAAGTATTTATCTCAGAAGGTCACCATATAATTTCTCTTCCGCGCTAACCTTATTGAGTCGTGACTTTCTATCGCCCCCCCCTCAAACATCGTCTGGATCCGCCCCTGGATTTGGTCCGATTCCATTCAAAATTGGTAAATGAGGGTTTTTGAGGTCGGAGATCTTCTTGTTAAAATTTATAAATTCAAGATGGCGGCTTCCAAATAATTTTTTGTTTTTGTATAAATGACGATAACTCCGTTGTTATCAACACAAAACTATAACTGCGACATATCATCTGTAAGAGAAAGAAAAGTTTTTTGATACTAAGTCATAGTGAGCTATGACCTACATTTGAAAAACTAGAGTTGGTGCTGATATCTCAAATTCTAGTAGAGTTGGTATAAACATATTTTTTTCGAAATCACTCTGAAAAACTGCCATGAGAATGTGAAATTTCTATTTGAATATTTTCATGAATAAAGGAGTTACGGAGGAGATATGAAAATGACCAAAATCTGTTTTTTGCGTATAAAACAAGAACGAATAGATTTTATCAAAATATTTTTTCACATTATAGTTGGCCGTGACAAACTACACATTTGGTGTCATTTAACCGACCTCGTATCTCTCACCGTTGAAAAGATACCCATGGTGAGCATGGTAAGTGGGACACACTGTATAGTAGTTTTTTATACAAAAAAATAGGGAAAACTGAAAAAATCTCACCCCAATGTTTTGGTAGAGATGAGCGGCGTCTTGAGCGATAGAAAACCGTTGAGCCTGGACTTTTTCGACTCTTGCACGATGGGCTGCTCCAACGATCTACCTCCTCCCACTCCTCCTCCCACTCCCTGCGAGTCCTCCTCCTCCTCCTCTCGATCCCGCTTGCGCCTGCGCTTATGGAAGAAGTAACAAGCCGCCCCCAAGGCCGCCACCAAAATCAAGCCGGCCAGGCTGGAGAAGACGGCCGTCAGGATGACGTCACGCTTCTGCATCATCAACTTGAAACACAAAAAAAAACAGTCGTCAGCTGAATTCCGAATTTTTGTGCTTGAATTGAAGTCATATGCACCGCCTAACCTCCTGCAGACCATTCTTTGTCTTTGTGCCTTTATTTTTCTTTATGTTCTGGTTCCCACGAGAAGGGCTATTTTGTAATGTTCAGAGAACGTCGTGAGAACCAAGGGAAATAAGGTAGGAATTGGTCTTCTCAAAGTTCTGGAGGTTATATGCCTCGGGAAACACCTCCCTCGGCAATGTGTTCCAGAGCCTCGCTGTTCGTTAGATAGAGTCTTTGCAGACCATTCTTTGTCTTTGTGCTTTTATTTTTCTTTATGTTCTGGTTCCCACGAGAAGCGCTATTTTGTAATGTTCAGAGAACGTCGTGAGAACCAAGGGAAATAAGGTAGGAATTGGTCTTCTCAAAGTTCTGGAGGTTATATGCCTCGGAAAACACCTCCCTCGGCAATGTGTTCCAGAGCCTCGCTGTTCGTTAGATGGAGTCTTTGGAAAGAGATGTTCTGCAGATCTCCAAAGTGACCACGAAAGGGTGCGAAGCCTCAACTCGACGGATTGATCTCGCGGGGACTGCTGAGGGAGGAACAATTGTTGATATTTCAGAAGAGCATCGTCCATGGAAAAATCTATAAAATAGAGCCAGATTGACAACTTTTCCATGGTGTTCCAGAGAAGTGAGTGAGTATACTTGGTGGTCTTTGTAATATGCCCTAATAACACAATTTTGTCCCATGGATATCTTCAGGACGCCCTGTGGGGACATTCAGGACGTTCAAATTTGGTACCGTGGACGTCCATTGGATGTCTGTGGGACACGCAAATGTCCCACTTGAGGACCAACTAGGGACGTCCTATCGAATACTTAAATCCAACAGTATTCCTCATCAAGCACTACGGAGGACATCCTTAGGACATCCGTAGTACAACCTGTCAGAAACGCTGAGGAATATCAATTGGATGTCCATAGGATGTCCCAGAGACGAACGAATTATTCTAGAATTTTAATTCGTATAGGTCCCTTCAGGACCAGATCTTGCATAACTGATGAGGACATTCAGTTGAGTTGACGGTCCCCAATAGATCCTGAAAAAGTTTCCCAAGGATGTCCAATGGACTTACCTGAAGGACATTGACGTATTTATAGCCTACGAGCAATCATTCGTCGGCGAGGTGTAAGTTAATTAACGTCCTCGCAGGGACAACATATATTGAAAGTGCCGACTGGAACTTCCGTAGGACATTATTTCTAGGACATTGGGAGAGTACAGTTCATGTACCAATTGATACATCCAACGGATATCTCTAAGGGACATTCGAAGGATGTCACTATACAGTGAGGACGTAAAAAGTCCTCCCCCCCCCTTAACTTTTGAACGGAACAAGCTATCGAGGTCGGGTAAAATTATGTGCGCATATTATTGGTATTTTAAAATGCGGTTTTTGTTCCAGTTTTTTTTACCTTATTCATTTTGCTGGAGACTCCAAATATCATTTCATTTTAATGCCAGTCTAATATTGACGTTAATCATATCGATACTTTTGACAGTTCTCATAGGTTCAAGCTTGTTTTTATAATTTTCAAATGCCTCGTCAGTTTGAAACGGCTTGGTCGATTTTCACAAACACAGCGGTGGTGGATAGAGAATCGGAAGGCCTTCAAAACCAAGTGCCACGTGACCCCCTTTTACATTTGAAAAAAAAAAGTTGATGGTACCCTCTTGACACTAGGCCACGTGACCACAATCATTTTTATGTCAAAAAGTAGTAAAAGTAGTACCTTTTTACCTGAATTTTACCCGACCTCGATAGCTTCTTCCGTTCAAAAGATAAGGGGGGGGAGGACTTTTTACGTCCTCACTGTATAAGGGACATTTCGATTGTTATATGATCCTGGAAATATAATAAGGGCGTCTGTGCAGTGATATTTGAAGGGACATCTGGGACATTTCATGGTTGTCTAGAAGGGACATTATATGAGATCTGAAGTCATGCCAGAATATGTACTGGGACATCCGATGGATGTCCCTAAAGGAACATTCAAAATCATATCCCATCAGGAACATCTCAAGAACGTCCTTGCAAAGACATTCTACAATACGTACCATGTCTAAGGGATGCTATTTTTAAGACATTCGAAATGATGTACCAGCTGGGACATTCCGTGGACGCCCTTGCTCGGACATTGCATGAAATTTATGGGATGGGACGTCCCAAGGACACTCATTTTTGGTCCAGGACATTCGGAATTGAATTGTACCAAATAGGGACGTCCTTAGGACGTTGTCTGCTATTAAGGTGTTGAAAAAACGGTCCCGTATGTTTCTTCAAAATCAAATTATCATTATTCCAACCATAGGTTTCTCAAAAAATATTCACATTGATTATCGGGAGTCGTCGACCGACTAAATTTGTTTCGGTGGTCACTTCCCGAAGAACCTAACTTATTCAAATCAAGCATGTTCAATTTGTCGTTGTTGAATGATGTTATGTTTTACCTCAACTCCGGGAAAAATCGTGAATTGCCAACAGTCGCAGCAAACTAAGCAATCAGCAAGCCGAGACATATGTGGGGCATATCTCTAATTATTTTCCGAAAATACCCACACACAATTATCCCGGAAACTGAACCCTCTCATCAGGCTCAATAAACTAGCATGATTTCCCAGCATACAAAACATTGGGCCGCGTATTTTATGATTTTCCGATCGGTCGGAATATGTACCGCGAAAATACCGAGAATCAAACAGAATGTATGGTTTATGACTGCCGAAAAAATAATATGTTTTCCAATTATTATTTGATAAAGGTGACGGTGTCTACCACCACTACTAGTATCAAAATGTTAGTATTGTTGATATCAGCTAGCATGATAAAGACGTCGAGAATGTTTCGAATGATAACGGGAAGGTCGGTGACAATAATTATCAACATCAGGTGAAAAAGCTCGATATTATAATATTGCCAGCTACACGAAATGATAATAATGTGAGTTTAGACATGTTAATTGGCTTTCCATGATATAAATCTCCTTATCATATGTATATCTCCTACCGTGGAATGGAGATTCAAAAAATTCAATAATATATAGGGTGCGTTTCATTTGAAATAATATTTGTAGAGAACGCGTCATAACCTAAACGTGGAACATCCTGTTTCATCTAATTTTTCCGTATAAATGTGGCAGATTGAGATTAAAAATTCATCTGTTCAGGATATTCTTCAAGACTTGAGAGTTTGGCTAAAAGTTACTTTATTCAGTATTTTTCGAAAGCACCGTGAACAGTTTTGCGTGAGACCAATTGGGAACCAATTAGGTGATAATCTACAAATATAATAGCATTTTCTCAGTTGATAAACTATCTTTGCTCTATAAACATGTCACGGAAGGTATCACTCAATCAATCAATCAAACAAACTTTCATTGAATAAGTTTTCTTCTACAATAAAAATTTGGAAAGAATCATAACATCATTGTAAAATACTAGCCAATTCAACAACCTCCAATATTCAATCAATCAATCAATCAAAATATACTGTATTGTCTGGAGAAAATAATTCTCATGGACGAAGTAATTATAAGAAAAAAAATAAAACAGTTGAGGGTAAAATCACGGGCAAAATAGTAAAACATAATTTGACAACACTTCCATATTCATATATACATATAGTTAACTCATAAAATAAAACAAAAACACATTTGCAAAAACACATTTGATGAGATATAAGGAAGGCCAGGCAACTTCAAACTATGAAATGAAGTGGAGAAAAATGTTAAAATTTTTCTGAATAAAATGCTTCTATTGAGTATAGGAGGCTTTCTATGTTGAAAAAATTTCTAACGGTTACTCTGAATCTTTTATTGTCACATATGCCTTCAATCTCGTTTGGTAAATGATTATTATATAGTTTTTTTCTATCATAAATGAAAAAGAGTTTTTTATGAATGTAGAAGTCGGTAATGGAAGTGTTATAATCAGTGTTTGTCTTGTGTTATATTGTGACATTCTTTTTTATTATTATATACACATTTACAATGAATCAGACACACATTTTCCAAAATAAGAATACAAAAGGTAGTGGTAAGATCTTATTGTCAATGACTAACGGAATTTTCATTTATGAAACGAATAATAAATTCTCATTTTCGTAGGAGATAATTCCGCACGATTCGCTGTGGCCTTCCAATCAGTATTGCTCCTGAGGTGGCGTATGGAGTTAGTAAGCCTACATGTAACACACATGGAATGAAAGGGCCTCTCGTAAGGTCGATATGGCCAGTTGGTATGTTACATAATTTTTGTTCATCTCTTGGAGCGCACGGAGGAAATTTCTATAATACTCGTGGAACATATATCGCGCATGCCTAGGAAGAGAAGATGAGTGTTGGAGTTTTTCTTGAACTTTTGAAGGTTATAAGTTCTTGAAAAATACTTCCATTGGTGATGAATAATTCTAAAGCTTCGCCGTTCGATCTATAGAAGAATATGAGTTTGTTGTTCGACATTTTCAAGATTAACGACGAAGGGATTTGCTGAGCCTTTTGAGTTCGTCTGACTGATATTGCTATAGTGATGGAATTATATAGCAGAGATCGATTTCTGAGGAAACATTTTCCGTGGAAGTATTTATAGAAAAGTGAAAGGTTGCTGCCTTTTCTACGAAGTACATATAGGTTATACTACTAGGTCCAAAGAATAACGGTTTCTTTATTGTTACACGCGGAATACATCATGGTTACATTAAAGCATGGTAGCTCACCAGTATCTATAAGGTCAATATGGAATAGTAAAATATTAAAATAATGATACAAATAATAGGACAACTTGACAAACATGTTACATAAATAAATTGAAATAAGATCATATTTTAAGGAAATTATATCACAGATTCAGTGAATCGGTAAAATATTCTTCCAAACAATAATAGGGTCAAATGTTAAACTTCACACAAAAGATAAGATTTCCACAAAATTCTCAAACACACGATATAATTAGTTCGTTAATACATTAGATGAAGCTAATTTGAACAATTGCGCATGATCCGATTGATCCGTGAGGCTTTATGCGCGATGGAACTACTACGCTTCAACTATCGTAGTTCAAATCGAAGACGTAGCAGAGAAAAATGCAGAATCAATAAGCACAGACCCACAGAGCAAGAGCGGGAAGAGCGCAGTCCTGACACAGCAATGGAACATGGTGGTTGTAGCCAATGGAATTTGTCATGTTTTCGTTTTGTGTCTATGGTGAAGCCGCATAAAATATAAGAAGAAGAAATGTCAAAACAAAGAAGTGTGGTTAATGTACGAAGTGGTCATTTGATTTTTGAATTTACATTTTTTGAGTAATGGCAAAGATTTAATGATATATAATAAACTACATAATAATGGCTAGACAAATCAGTTTTGATGTTAGTGCAGGTGTTAATGAGTTGATCACACATATATCTGGATTCAGGGTAAGTACTGACACTAGTTTATTAGGCTATGAAGTAACTGTGAAGGAGTTGTAATAAAACTATTCTTCTAGTAACCAGTAACTGTTTTTCTTTTTGTGTTCAGGAAGGATCCGAACCGTTTTTGAACCAACAAAAACATCTGTTTGACCAACTGAAGAAATCCGACACAATGTATTTCCTCAATAAACGTGAAGTGGACCAAAGCATTGCAGGAATGGCCGAGAAATTCAATTTCCACGGATTCATGGCTCAGGCCAAAGCACTTCAAGAAGCCTATGATGAATATGTGAAAGATGACCTACCAAAATCAGCATCACTGAATCGTCTGAATATTGTGAAATTGCTGTTGTGCCTATCAGAAAGGCCTACTAGCAAATTCCTGGAAGACCCTGACCAATTTGAGGTCATACAAGAAGAGGACGAAGAGGACATCAATTGGGGTGAATATTTGAAAGAGGGAATTGAAGAGTGGAAACCAAACTTTGATGAAAGTACTGTGAGTTTGTAAATAATGAACATACAAAGCATTAAGATTCTTGAATATAGACTTCTATTGATTTTCAAAGGATTGTTCATCAAATTCTTCAGTGACAGATGGTGTGAATGATGTCACAGATGCCCTTGACAAAAATTCAACTCAAGGAGTCCTCATTCATAGCAGTGAGAGTGATGTAATCATGAACTTGCGTGCAAACAGGGAAGAACTGTTGAATACCATCCAGCACACATGGTACAATCAGAGTAGGTTTCATGATACTCCTTTCAGTGAAAGAAGAGAAGCCAATATTGGAATCATCTGGTAATACAGAATGAATGTATTGGATGTTTATTGATGTTCAAAACAATTTTGCATGCCTATGTCCATATTGTTTCTATTTTGGCATTTTTTTAGGGAAAATCATCTGGAGAAACAGGCAATGGGTTTGATAATGGTGCCAAAATCTTCAGTATTTTCAGAATACAAAGTTATAAGGGAGATTTTGTGGCAACTTTGGCATCCTCATACATCTGCTGTGTTTGAGTTAGATGGCAATAATATCAAAGCTAGGAATGATATCACAATATCCAGTACCAGATCAGTGAGTTGAAATGATTTTTTTTTCAGATAATTTCACCAGGACATAAAAAAAATAGTTTATCACAGAACTATGAATATTCAAATATTTTTCTTCTGAGCTTTTTCCAGAAATTTGGTGATGGATCTTTGGTAAATTCAGTAGTGTATTCAGATTTTTTGTTTTTCATCATCCCCAAAAAAAGTTAGTCCTTCAATGATTTTATTTTTCAATTGGTATTATTGTTGGCACTGAAATAGGCAAAAATGTGTGATTTCATTCAACAAAGTGAAATGAATCATCATAGAAATACTTGACCATAACTATAAGTTTGAAACAAAATGTTCTGATTCATATTCTGCAAAATATGCTATAGAGATTGCATATTTTTTGGTGAATCATGCAATTTCATTTTAAAATGATAACAATAAAAAAAATTTCATGAGTGATTTCTGCCTCAAATATTGTTAAATTGTGAAATTTACTAGTGATGGAAATATTTTTTGAAGAATGGTAAAAAAAACATTATTCCAAATACAACTACAGTTTTCATCAAACATTTTCTCATCATCATCCAAACCTCCTCATTAAAGGTAGAAGATTTTTGAACAAATCAATTTCTTCTGGTTTGTTTCCATATTTTTACTAAATGAAGGATATTTCATATAAAATGAATTATTATTGATGAAATTATACTTACATTTTTCAATTTTTCATTAACCAATTTCTCATCATCATCCAAACCTCCTCATTAAAGGTAGAAGATTTTTGAACAAATCAATTTCATCTGGATTGTTTCCATATTTTTACTAAATGAAGGATATTTCATATGAAATGAATTATTATTGATGAAATTATACCTACATTTTTCAGTTTTTCATCAACCATTTTTTCATTATCATCATCCAAACCTCCTCATTCAAGGTAGAAGATTTCAAACAAATCAATTACATCTGATTTCTTTTCATAATTTTACAAAATGAAGGATATTTCATATGAAATGAATTATTATTGATGAAATTACACCTACATTTTTCAGTTTTTCATCAACCATTTTTTCATTATCATCATCCAAACCTCCTCATCAAAGGTAGAAGATTTTGAACAAATCAATAACATCTGGTTTGTTTTCATAATTTACTAAATGAATGATATTTCATATGAAATGAATTATTATTGATGAAATCATACCTACATTTTTCAGTTTTTCATCAACCATTTCTTCATTATCATCATCCAAACCTCCTCATTAAAGGTAGAAGATTTTGAATGAATCAATAACATTTGGTTTGATTTCATAATTTACTAAATGAATGATATTTCATATAAAATGAATTATTATTGATGAAATCATACCTACATTTTTCAGTTTTTCATAAACCATTTCTTCATTATCATCATCCAAACCTCTTCATTAAAGGTAGAAGATTTTGAACGAATCAATAACATTTGGTTTGTTTCCATAATTTACTAAATGAATGATATTTCATATGAAATGAATTATTATTGATGAAATTATACCTACATTTTTCAATTTTTCATCAACCATTTTTTCATTATCATCATCCAAACCTCCTCATTAAAAGTAGAAGATTTTGAATAAATCAATTTCATCTGGTTTGTTTCCATATTTTTGCTGCAAAAAGGATATTTCATATGAAATGAAAACTTATCAATGAAATTATATGGGCTTGTGGCATTCTTGATAATTTGTGCTTATACACAATTCCATTTGTTTGTAGATGACGCTTGAAAGTTTCTTGAATAATGAATTCATTCCTCACATAGAACTTTTGGAGTTTTTCCGAGACTTTTCCAAAACGCTGGACGTCCACTCTGACGATTTTATTGTTATGGTCCCTCAAACATACAGGAGTTACAGCAATGCATTGCAAAACATAATATCACCCATTTACATTAGTCTTTCCGAATTAGAAGATAAAATTCGCGAACAAGGTACCTACATTTCTGAATTTGAAGTTATTGAGTCTACTCACTAGCCAGCAGAACCACTGAACTTTCAATTTTTTCTTCGGCTATAATTTGAGGCTAATTTATTAAGAAAGAAAAGAAAAACTCAAAGTCGTCTCCACAATTTTAATGTCTAATGAGGCAGTCAATCCTGCTTCAATAAGGTTGATACATGTTTCGGCCATTCAAATGGCCATCTTCAGTCAAATTAGCAACAAAGTGTATCTACAATAGAAACCAAACATGATATTTTATATGAAGAAGAAATTGAAATGGAAAAGACAACAGTTGTAAATTCATAATTGAATTGATTAACAAATTTCAGTAGGATAAAAGAGCAACGGTGATTTTTATAAGTATAACAATGATAATTGATCAGTAATTGATGGTAAAAAGTATAAAAACAGAATTTTTAATAAATCAAAAATTCTGACAACAAAATGGCGAACCATAGATAACAGCTAATTTATTATTCAATTGCCGAATTTATTGCTCTTTGACTTATGCAAAAAAACGTTGGTTCTGCTAGCTTAATGTTGAGCTAGCAGAATCACTTTGCAAATTGAAGTTCAATTACAAAACTAATTATAACCTGATGTGAGGCTAATGTGAGGCTTCAATGCTAGCCTGTTGCTAATTTTTTCGCACTATGTTTTTTTTAAATCATGGGTTTTGCTAGGTTAACTGTTGAGCTAGCAGAACCAAATATCGAATAGAAGGGATATACAGGGTGTTACATATTCGTGGCTAACCATGTAGATCTCGGTAACCTTAAGAGATACAGAGAAGTTGAATTAGGCAAAAGTTGCACCATTTCATGCTCAACCAAATGCTGGTTTGAACTTGGAAAAATTCCAATTATTTTTGGAGATATACAGAAAAAGAGGAAAATATGCCAACTCGTTTTCATTTATTACTCAGTTTATTTGAAGAGATATTTCAAACTGAATGTCACTTCATCATTGCCACTTCTCCTACTCTACAAAATGGCATTGTCAAATTGGAAATCCGACATTTCTTCTTCTAGTTGCCCTCATCAACTTTTTTTTTTTTTAAATACGGACCTGGATTTTTTATTTAATTTTTCGATAATTCTCGATCTTCTTGATATGATGGTATACCAAAACAATTCATAAAATGTTTACTTCAGTGAAAAAATGGTTTAAAAAAGGTATGGAGATACTCATCTTCGTCCAACACAGCGTTTTTTGTTTTAATGTCTCTTCGTCTATCACATTATTCGGTGTGAAGTATCTCCTATATAATTGAATTGCTCTTATTCTATGTGCATTATTAGTTATAGGAAACCAAAAATGATAATTGAGCAATTGTTCATCATTTAATGAAATAATATTTATTCATTCATTCATCATCTATTTTTCTGTTATCATTTTTTGCAAAACTTCCTACTAATGACAATATGAACATGACAAACCAATGACAAAATTTTAATCACAAAACTAAGTATACCATAATTCAAGGATATTTAAGCACATATTGCCGTTTTTTTCGCATATTTTTTTTGTTTTTTTAGCTTTACCGAATTTCAAATAGAAGGAATATGGGGATATTCAGTACACCATAATTTGAGGCTATTTTAAGGCTTCTTGTTGAGCCTATTATCAAATTTTTCTTTGATAATTCTTTGCAAAAATTTTCACCAATCCAACATGAACATGACAAACCAACGGGTAGATCAAAATAAGTTGAATCACAAAACTAATTATACAATTATTCAAGGCTAATTCAAAACTCTGATACTATAGCCAATTACCGATTTTTTTGCTATCATTGTTTTCGAAAAATCATCATGGGTTTTGTTACCTTTCAACTGTTAAGCTAGCAAAACCCATGATTTTTTTTTAAAAAGCAATGTACGAAAAAATCGGCGATAGCCTAGTATTGGAGACTCATATTATGGTATAATTAGTTTTGTATTTATTTTTTTCTCTATTTGCCATTGCCATATGGTTGGTCAAGTTTATGTTGGATTTGTGAAAATCCTAATTTCCTAATTTTCCGTAAGTAAATAGATGAATAAAACAATTTTTGACAAAAAAAATCGATGATGGGCTCAACAAAAAGTCTTTAAATGGCCCTCAATTATGTTGTAATTACTCAATATCCTTATATTCCATCTGATTGAGATTTGGTTCTGCTAGCCCTTAAGCTAACAAAACCCATGATTGTTTTTAACTTCGTAAGAAAAAATCGGCTAGGATTTGAGCCTTAAATTAGCCTCAATGGGCTTATATCACAAAAAAATTTTATTTCATAATTCGATAGAACTCACCCAAACTAGCTCACCACCGAAAACCGTTTCTTGCTGTGAGCTCCCTACGTTTTATAAAAAATTATTGAAATCCCCGATTTTTCGGACCTCTGAAAACGAGGCGCTGATGTGACGTCAAAACCCTAATACTGAAACAAGAATATTCTAGACAGAGGTGAATGATACATGATTTCTGACAGAGTGAATTAGCGCGAGATCACAGTTGAAAGAATTAATATATCAGTTGCCTCAGTCTCCGTCGGGCGTTTGGTATTTTCTTTTAACTATGGCGAGATGAGGTTTCTACGTCATAAGAGGGTCCGTTTTCAGAAGGTACCTTTATTTATGTCCAAAAATGAAACATTGCAGTTAATTTTTCGATCGAATTATGTCGTCAATCATTTTTTATGTATAAAAGGATCATTATATAAACATGGTTTGAGTTAAAAGTTCTACTAAGGTGTACACGCCCATTATTTTGTGATTGAACTTTAATTTACAAAGTGATTCTGCTAGCTCAGCATAACCCACGATTTTTTGCATGAATTGAAGAGGAATAAATTTGGCAATCAGGTAATGAATCAGCCTTAAACTATGGCCGAAGTAACAATTTTAAAATCTAAAGTGGTACTGCTAGCTTGATGGGAGTTGACAACTCATCCCATTTTTCTTTCAGAGACTACTTATACCCTCCTGAATCTGTCTAAAGATTTGAGGATGATTTTGAATCCGCTTTATTTGCTGAGAAAAATCCAAAACCAGGTGGTCATTGATTTCCGAACGCACAGTAACTTGACAAGTACCGTTACTTTGTTAGTACGTCTTCACAGCAGTCTGCAATTTGCTGAAAGCAAACTGGATCAAGATTTGAGAGTGTCTTTGTACATTGAAAGTCTTTACCACTATTTGACGTTGATCGATTCTTGGCTGATAAAAAATGATCTTATGGATTATACTTCAGAATTTGTTATAGATAAGTGAGTTATTTCATTGGAGTGAAATTGTGTGAATTTTTGAGATGAAATTCGATACTTACAATATTCTGTTTTTTTCTAGCAAAAATAAAACAATTATGCCCTCGGAAGATGAAACTGACTGCAGGTAATGACTTCTGGAAATCACCTAACATTTTTTTTATTTCTGTACCTGAATTTCTTCGACCATTATTCGCTTTATTTGGATCCTTGCAGGTGACTTAGATACACCCTGTATAATATGTAAATTAAATTACTGTTGAACCAAGTTATTCAACTCTATTATACATGGTGAATCACGGTCGATGGTAGGATATAGACATTTATGGAGAACGCAAAGAAGGGTTTTTCTGAAAATTTCGCATCTCACATTATTTTCAAAATTGCGACGTTGCTGCTTCTATCAATTAGTCCTAGCAACTTCATTTTTTCAAATGGATCACCTTCTATATTGTATATTATTCAAATTTCAGTTTCTTCCTGATGAGCTGATTTCATTAATACATCACACACTTATTGGGGTCTAGCGAGAATGATTATACAGAGATATAGTTGTTCAAAATAGAGATTTTTCAGCTTCAAAATTATTCTGTGTAGAAACTATTCATAATTTTGCAAAACATTCAATTGGAACGAATATGCGGGGTGGTTCAAGATTCAGAATTCTGATCACCCTGTATCTGTTCCAACTAAATGTCAGTTGATAGTAAATCAGGAGTTGAGATAGGGACATGCAAGCAAATTCGACCGATAATGAATAGTTTCGACACGAAAAAAAAACCTAAAGTTGACAAATTTTCATTTTGACCACCGTATATAGCTCTGCAATCATTTCCGCTAGATCACAAGTATGATATATTGATGAAATTAGCTCTTCATGAAAGATCTGAAATTGCAATGATATACAGTGTGATTCGAGGGGTCATTATTCATTTAAAAAAAAATGAGTTGCTAGGACTATTTGATTGAAGCAGTATTGACCATGATTCACCCTGTATATGATATATATCATAACTTACTACACAGCACTAGGAAAATTACTGGTGACTATTCCACAAACCAATCAGTATCGACCATTTTCACAGAAACTTCTGTATTACAGCGATATTTTTTGTTTACTGAATTTTATCGGACTTTACATGTGCTCTACCAATACAGAAACCGAATTGACCCACACGTGACCAACCAACCTCGTTTTTTAGCGATAACATTTTTGACATTTCAAAACGTCAATCATGTTGGAAGCCAAAATGATGGATGTATTGTGCGCAACTCTTGCGAGGCGCTCGATTATTGTCTCAATCACGAAATATTCATAGGAATTCAACTCGTGATACTATTTTTCCTGGAAATATCCGTCGATTGACATACTCCAGCTTGCTGCTCTAATTTCGCTCATGACATTGATCCTAAACTTCTCGCCTTACAGCTCAAAATTTCGATATACACTGTCATTCGCGAAATTATATTAGGCAACAAGCTGTCGTAACAATCACAATTCCGGCAAAATAGTATCACGATTGTTATATTACATACTAGCAGACCTTTCAAACGTTATTGTTTTGCTATGTATACATTGTTTCTATAAAATATTTTTTCAGTTCAATATTCATCAAGACAGTATTATTATTTTATTTTATACTTTTTTTCAGTTTCGTTATCTATAAAATCGTGTTCCTTCAGTTTTTCAAACTACAATTCATCACAACTTCTTTAAAGTTCATTTGAATTCCCAATTTTGACGAAAGAATCATAATATCCGACTCCTAAAACCCCAGATGAAAGTTTTGAATAGAATCGGAACATAATTACAAAACTCGTCCGGTATATTGGTTACACTGTCTTGAATTTCCAAATCCCGTCCTTTCCAAATTTTGACAAAAGAATCATAATCTCCGACCCGAAAACACCCAGATAACAATTTTGAAGAGAGTCGGATCATAATTGCGATACTCGTCCGCCATATTGGATCCGCTATCTTGAATTTCCTAATTTTGACGAAAGAATCAGAATCTCCGACCCCAAGAACCATCAGATACCTTGAATAAAATCGGATTCTTATTACTAAATCCGCCATTTTCGATCCGCCATCTTGAATTTCTCAATTTTGACGAAGGAATCATAATCCCCGATCACGAAAACTCCTAGGCACCAATTTTTAAAAGAATCGGATTATAATTACAAAACCCTTCCGCCATATTGGTTTCACCATCTTGAATTTCCAAATTCCGCCCGAATTTTCAAATTCTGACAGAAGAATCATAATCCCCGACCCCGAAAACCCTCAGATACCAATTTTGAATTGAATCGGACCATAATTATAAAACTCGTCCGATATATTAATCAGATCCGCCATCTTGAATTTCCTAATGGTACCGGGATAAAAAGTATTCGATAACCTTCTCCTGGTTCTAAGTTACCTCCCCACCAATTTTCAGACAACAACAACAACAAACAAACAATCATATCTTTCCTCTTTATAAGATGATATAGTAGTTTACCTAACAAGTGCGGAAAGTGACACTTTTCCGTACTCAATAGCGTGCGGAAAAGTCACTTCACGCACGTGTTAGATACACTATTTTTTTTACTAGCGTGCGGAAAAAACCCAAGTGTCAACATGAAGAAACATTTATTATTAAATACTTTTATGAAGATAAATTTCGTCAGGTGCTTCATTTATAAACTGGAATATTTTTTCTCTCAAGAACATTTTTGCCTTTTTTGGTCTAAATCCAATGTTTTGTTTTTTTATATATGCCGTGACCTTAAAAAACTTGCTCAAATCGAGGTTTTTTCTAGTTTGATTGCACTTTTTAACATTGAGGACCTGGACCAAAGATTGTTTGGTTTGCATGTTTTGGGAATTTCAGCGAAATAAGCCACAAAAACGTCTTCTTTGAAACTTTTGATTCCCTTATTATTCTGGCACCTGTTTTCAAACAAATTATATTCCTTTTCATACCTCTGTGACGGGATTTTGATGGTAGTAGATTCAAGTTTGCAGTTCTAGCCGCTTCCAAAACTGAGTGCGGAAAAAACTTTTTTCCGCACTCAGTGCGGAAAAGTGACTCGTTCAACACTGAAATGAGTGCGGAAAAGTGAACTTTTCCGCATGCTAGTAAACAAATTTATTTTTTCAGTATTTGTGATGGAGATATTTGTCAGCTGAATTTTGAATTACGTGAAGAAATTGATAATACCTTCAAGGAAGATGGTGTGATAGCCATCATCAGGGAAACAGTATTGCAAATTGGAAGGAATCTGCATTTGCTCAGGTTATTGGGCAAATTATCTCTCTTACAAGACCAAAAAGGTAATCATGAAAATTCGAATTTCAGGAATTATTTTGTAACTTTGAAAATTCAGTAAAGGGTTTGTTATCAAAAAAGGGTTATTGTTGAACTTGACTGTTTTTCCAGAAACTATTTATGAGGAATTCGTCAGAAAAACTCTGACGGAATTACGCCTCTTTTTCGGTGTTGATGTAAACGACCTAATCATTGATGGAAATGAAAGTGATATTGATATGGAAAACGTCAAGTATAAATGTCCAGTAGTGTGTACAGAAGAGTGTAAAACAACCACTGAAATGGACAAACTTGAAAATCTTGTTGACACAACTGATGGATTCCTAATGCTGGCTTTCGAGGATTATTTCATCGAAAAACCAATAAAACAAGAAAAAACAAAACTCAGCTTATTTGAAAAGTCAGTATAATTTATTCTATCACGTTCTATTCTTATCATTTTGCTGTATATTTTTCAGGATCTCAAAAATCACTACCACTTTTTTCCCGGTGTCAAATTTTTTCGAAAACATTTTGAGCGGTATTCTGAAAGAGAAATTCACAGTATCTGGATTGATGGTGAAGAACATGTTCATCGAACAGTATTTGCTGGAAAAACAGTTTCAGTTTTTGCGGCATATATTTTTGTTCTATGATAATATGATATTCCCATTCTATAGAAGATTATTTGAGAAGGTGAGTCGCTAAAATATAAATTCAGTTTCTTATTGAATCATTATAGTTCACTCGAATAAAAACCATCATTATAACAATGATTAAAAAATTCACCTGAATAATAATTGAAAAATTGATGATACACTGTGTTGCTAAACTCAACAGGGATTTCCATCAACGTCACGTACTCTCTGCGTGGATTATTGAATCTAAATAATACTCTGATTCATCGAAAAATCCATCATTTAATGAAGATTAATCAGTTGGTGAATTAAGCAACACAGTAATACTGAATCAAATGATGAAGAACAATTTTTTCACCACATGGATGTGAATTCTGTTGAAAAAACAACAGAAATAGAGCTTCTTCTCTGAACCTCAGGCATGAAACAGTTCATAATTTTAAGTTTTTTAGTAAATGATCATAAACATGATATGGTATGTTTTTGTAATGTTCATCTTGAGCCCATTATCTGAACAGATGCAACTTGGATTAGAGGCAACAGTGGACTTGAAATAATTTGCCCAGAGTCTCCCCCTGGTAAATAATTGTCTGACTCTTATAGTGCCTTAGGTATCACAGGTTAATTGTATCCCTTATAATACTTTTGTATTTCTGGACCTAATTTTTTCACGTATACCTCATCTTGTAATTACTGATGCAGTTGACTTACTAACCAATTTAAATTACCACCATAATGCATATTGCTTTATGCTGTCACTCCATAATGAGGACACTTACCTTAATTATTATCTTTATTATGAACCCACGCATTATTGCTTGTATTTTTGTTTGAGATGAGTATGATGAATGGGCGTGTACACCTTGGTAGAACTTTTAACTCAAACCATGTTTATAATGATCCTTTCATACATATATAATGATTGACGACATAATTCGATCGAAAAATTTACTGGAATGTTCAATTTTTGGACATAAATAATAGTACCATCTGAAAACGGACCCTCTTATGACGTAGAAACCTCATCTCGCCATAGTTAAAAGAAAATACCAAACGCCGGACGGAGACTGAGACAACTGATATATCAATTCTTTCAACTGTGATCTCGCGCTGATTCACTCTGCCAGAAATCATGTATCATTCATCTCTCTCTGGAATAGTCCTGTTTCAGTATTAGGGTTTTGACGTCACATCATCGCCTCGTTTTCAGAGGTCCGAAAAATCGGGGATTTCAATAATTTTTTATAAAACGTAGGGAGCTCACAGCGATAAACGGTTTGCGGTGGTGAGCTAGTTTGGGTGAGTTCTATGGAATTATGAAATAAATTTTTTTTGTGATATAAGCCCATTGGCGAACCATGTTTTCTTCATTGCATTATACGCCTTATATTCGCGAGATTCACGAAGTGGGCGACATCTAGGTTCCATAATACGAACTTCAAACTGAGGAAAAACAAACTTTCCTATAGATAAAGTGCATAGACTACATTGCATTCAGCTTGCTGTAGCTGTAGGCAAACTTGTCGATGACATAAAGTGTTGGCACTGTTGGTAGTGATGATGGTTGAGTTGGTTAAGTTTTTCACATTATTACATTTTTATTAGTTTAGTGAACAGTGAACGGGTGAAGAATTGGAGATAGTTCAAACAATTCAAACTAATTATGACGAGCAAATCAATTGACATATAAAAGAACAGCTACAACATGTTTACAATACCCAGATTGTCCTGCTTTGCAGGCACAAATACAAATCCATTGTTCTACAGGAGTTCCTCTGGACCCCAACTTCAATTTCACCTCATGTGGGGAAGATTTCATCGCCGAAGTTTGTAGACAAAGTGCAAAAATGTGCCTTTTGTTGAAGTCTTCTGCCTAAAATCACATGATCCAGCACGGAGAACTGCTTCTCCTTCCACTACTGGTCGGCTTTTTCCATCTGAATAGAGCAAAATATCTGCCAAAAGAACATCTACAATAGGCGTTATTAGCGTTTTCGATCGAATATTGACAAATAATGTCAAGAAATTTGAAAACTTATCACTCTTATCAGTACACAGTACACAAGCTGATGGCACTAATGGGATTAAGTGAGGATTGAGTTTGTTTTCCCCCAGATTTGACGTGACTTTGACATGGAACGATGAAAACCGAGCGCCACCTGGTAACATTGATTCCCGCGAATTAGGGTCCCTTGATGTAAATTGACGTATTTGTCATCTTAACAAGGTACTGACAGATCCTCGTCTCCTCTCACTCTAAAGTGTTTGTGAAACAGTTATATCATTATAGTTCCATCTTCATTCATTTCTGGGGATAAACACTAGATTTCTGACATTTGTTGTTTTATAGGTTATATTGAGGACATTGGCGTATCAAACGTAATTTCCACAAGTGATTTCTCATTCAACTCTACATATTATATCCAAATGATGATGATAATTTTCGAGTTTTTGATTTTTCAACTCCAGCATAATCTTTGTGAGGCAGTGAGCAAATTTTTCTGAATGTTTGATAAGTTTCATCAAAAGGGACTGTTCTTAGGCAGTACCTATCAATAAATGAATCTAGATTTCAGACTGAGCCTCATGGTTGAGAAATGGTGAAAAAGTTTATGTCGGTATTCAAACTAATGTGCTTATATGTCATGTGTGCTGTAAATATTCATGTTGGGAATCATTTTTGCAGTTTTTCTTCAACACTTAATATTTCCTGAATGTAGGTATAATTTTATTAATGGTAGGGCATATGCCTCTTCTTTCAATCCTCCGTTTTAATCAAAACTGTTTCTACTAAAATGCATTCAAAAACTTGTGGAGTGGATAATTATAGGCACAATGAGAAAATATAATATGTGATTTCGTGTTAGTTTTACCTCGAATATTTTGCTGATGTATTTACCAATTTTCCCCATTCGGTCACTTCACTTTCCATGTTCTAAGTTCATTTGCATTTGATCGAAAGCTGACAAATACAAATTTTCCATCTAACTGATTGATACAGCCTAACGCAGCACATTTTACCATCCTTCCAAGCGATAAAAAAAAAGATCAAGTATGAAATTAAAATTTTGTAAGATCTCTTTCAACGCCTATGAATGTGACGTGACAGCAATGTCATGTCAGGGACGCCAATACACGAAACCAAAGTCACTAGATGATTAAAAGAGAAAGGAGCTATGATCTTTCCGTACCCTGTTAGATGACAAATACGTCAGCTTGCATCAAGGGACCCTACCGCGATTTAATAAGGCGTATAATGCACTAGTTTGTTAAATAATTATTTCGATCATCAGATCGATTCTTCGGACAAAAACTGGGCGAATGACATCTGGCTGACGTCCCACCTGCACGACATCGTATCCGACGCGTACCCGGAATTCCACGACCGCTGTACGGTTCAAGTCGGGGAGACCTGGCGGACGTGCGCGGACTCCTTGGCCGCCTGTGACGTCATCGATTTGCAATACGAAATCCAGTGGCCTTCGAACATCGTCATCAGCGGCCCACAGATGGCGTTGTACAGGGACGTGTTCCATTTCGTGTTGAGAATCAAATGGGGATTGTACACGTTGAATAGACTGTCGTTCACAGGTGGGATTTTTCAGGAATTGGCTACATTTTATAATAATCGAGAAGGAATATTGTCAGATGTACAGTGTCATTCATATAGTTGGCATCATATGGGAAAAACTTTCAACAATAATTCATTTTTAAATTCGACTTGTGCGTTGAGGGTTGCTTCAAAAAAGATGAAAAATGGCCTACTCGGCTTGCTGTTTTAATTTCGCTCATGACATTGATTCAAAACTTCTCACATACGGCTAGAAAGTTTTGATAAACAATGTCATTCGCAAGATTATCAGACAAAATAGTATCACTTGTGGTATGATGATAAATATTTCACTGGAAACGATAATTATATTATGAAACTCTTGTTTCTTTTATGTTTGGTCATGTTGTTGGTGGAATTTTCATGTTTTCAGTCCTCATAGTAGATGAAAAACTTTGATTTTGAAGAATATTTCGACTTTTCCATCTAATAAACAGAAATAATTCAATAGTTCAATTTTCCAGTGAGAAAAGTGAGGTTATAAAGCCTCATCTTGAAAGGTGTTCACATTGAGCTCATTGTCTTGAAATGATATTCGCCAGCGCCACAGTTCAATTTTTGGAGTAAGAAAAGTGAGGTTATAAAGCCTCATCTGGAAAGATCTTTAAATGATATTCGCGATAATCACAAACCGCTGAGAAAATCTCATTTTTCCTAAATCAGAGATGAACAAAAAAAATTCGCTGTATGTAAATCACAAAAAGAAATCAATGGTATGTGAAATGAGTTATATTGACTGATTATCAGGGATTATCATTTATTTTGTAGACTGCAAAAAAAGCATTTTTCAAAATATTCTTGATGAATGTGAGTTAATTCTGTGGCCAAATCGAAATTGTAAATCAGAAGTAAAGATGGGAACATTGGAGCGGTTCTGATCGATAATGAATAGTTTCGACACAAAAAAATCCTAAAGTTGAAAAATCTAGATTTTAAACACCCTATACCTATGTATGCATTCCCGATAGACCCCAAGTGGGATAGATCGATGGAATTAGCTCTTCAAGGAGAATCTGTAAATCCAATGAATTACAGGGTGTTCTATCCAATATAAGAAAGTTAATAAAAAATTCGGTATAACTGAAAAAGTGGCAAATTGGCTATAACATTTTCAAATCTGCCACGTTTTGAAATCACACAGTACATAAATTCAAAAAAATCCAACAACAGGTTACCGAGATATTCACCTGCTTCCATACATATCAGCGACCCTCTATACCTTTATTTCTCTCCTCCAAACCTTTTTCAATAAAAATTATCACTGACAAGCTAGTCAATTTTTCTTTCAGGCTCTCTGATAGGAAAATTCTTTAAGGCAGTGACATTTTGGGGCAAATCATCTGATTTGTTCTTACTACACGGATATTGAGATAATATTCATATTTTTATCTCACAGAAACGAAGAGAGAAAATCCCAAAAAATCTGGAATATTGGAAAACAAGCTTTTTTTCAATTTCTCCGTTTTTTTTTCTAGATCTAGAGCCAAAGAAAAAGCCCTATCACAAAACCAAACCGACTACTCACAAAACGACAGTGATGAAGCTCAAGTTTTTGAAGTTCGCTCTGATAAATCTGTTAAACAGCATTCAACACTACATTTTCGCGTTCGTCTTCATGATTTGTCTCCAAAAGTTCGAATTGGATTTCGAAAAGGCCAACGATCTGTCTTCGATAATGGAATCACATTTCAAATTCATCAATAATATTCACGCTATGACGATGGAAGTGAGAAAATGTGGAAAAAAAGAGCCTGCTTTCGAAAATGTAAGTATTTGCATGAAAATAGGCGATTGGGCTAATTTTTTTTATTCCTCAAATAGGTTCATCACTCAAATACCTTTCGATTTCATATTTTTTTAGAATTTTTCGGTCGATTGTTAGGTGCTTAAATCTTCAATAATGCCACGGTAATTTTCATATGGTTAGAAAGGACCCCGCATTTTTTCTATATAAAAATGGCGTTCTGTCGAATTTCCTGAATTTCTGATATATTATAGAACTAAACCTAATGATCATATATGCCGAGTCCTAGTCCGATCCTATGACCAGTTTTTGAGATACAGGGTGTTGACGTTGAGAAATGCACCTTTTTCATCTACCCATATCTCCAAGAAAAGACAAATGAATAAGAATTTTCTGCTAGCAGTTTTTCAGTTTAACCTTTAGGTAAAGAACCATGTACAGAATCAACCAAAGCTGATCTTTATCACAGGGTGATTCACAATTGAATTATTGTGCTATTTTCAATTTCTAAATATCGATTCTACAACTTGATAAAAATTAAAAAATCAATATTATCATTGGATATGTTCTTCTTACATGGAACACCCTGTATCCCGGAAACGAATTGTTTTCGGGCATATGTTTATATGAACTTTCGTTTCTTATTTCGGCCCAAAAATATTACCTCGAAGTTTCTTGCAATATTTAACGCTCTGTATATACTTTTCATCAGTCACAATAGTAAAGACGAAAACTTCATGGCATTGAAGAATCAATGGAAAATATAAAACGTAAAGTTATCTCTATGAAAATAACGTTAAACTTGTCCGGATAGTTGCTTTGATGAAAGGAAGAAACTTAGTGGAACTTTTTCAGTAGACTAATGGATCATTATAATGTTTCTCAGGTCTTCATGTATGTTTTGTTGATTTCTTCTAGGTGATGCACAGTATCAAGATACTCAAAAATATGTGGAAGAATATTGAAAATGCTACCCCTGATAGACTTCAGGAGTATTACGAAATGTACGAAACGTCGTATAGAACTATAAATCCAATTATTTGCCCTGTATACCTCTATGATTATTGAATCTCTGACACATGCTCTTATTTTTTTGCTTTGCTGTGATGTTTTATTATTAGTACTTATTTAAAATATATTTTTATTCTTCTACAACTATGATATCTCATTTCAATAATACATTGTTTTAAATGGGGGTGAAAAACAGTGGCGGCTCCTCAGAGGAGGCAACGGAGGCTGAGCCTCCTCAGAGATTCTCCTTAAACTGATATTATCTATACTTTCTCATTCAAAGGACACCAAAATAAATGGATTTTGATCTTATTTCCTGTATTTAGGTAAATATTTTTGAATTGGCAACAGTGCTTGCCCACGCATCACACGTTGAAGTCTGCAAGTCACGCGTAAAATATTCAACTTGGCAACATCTATAGGAGGCTAGACTCCGTCACAACACGCAACCCACGCGCGCAATGCAAATGCTCGAATACGCCCGAATAGCACGTGTTTGTCGTGTCGCGTCGCGAATTGCGGACAATCTAGCGCGCTGCGCGAGTGTATTATTTATGTTTATGTTAGGTTATAATGGTTATGGGCCCTATAAATTTCTGAAAAATTAGTGTTTTAAACGATTGCGATTAATTGGAATACTTTTTGGTGAACCCATTCAGTGCTTTGTCTTATAAAGATAAATAAATAAATAAATAAAGATAAAAACTAAATAAAAAATCAGCACCTGGTTATGACAATATAAATACGAAAGATCTACTGCTACTCAAAGAGTACATTATACCAATACTGGTTAATCTTATAAATGAATCATTTAAGCAAGGTATATTTCCTGATATCCTCAAAATCAGCAAAGTCACACCTATCCACAAAACTGGTCCAAAAAACATTATGGATAATTACAGGCCAATTTCAGTAATCCCCACACTATCTAAGGTTATCGAGATTATATTGAAAAAACGTATTATCAATTTCATGACGGTGCATGTCAATTTTGATGAATACCAATATGGGTTCCAAGAAAATAGCAATACTTTGAGTGCAACTATGGATTTCGTTAACTATGTTGCTTCCTCGCTGGATGAAAAATACTTCGTTCTTGCAGTATTTGTTGACTTGCGAAAAGCGTTTGACGTAGTAGATTTTGATATATTACTTAGTAAGATTGAAAAAATGGGAATAAGGGGGAATGCTCTCTCGTTGATCAAAACATATCTGATAAATCGAAACCAATTTACAATAGTTAATGAACAATCTAGTGAAACCGAAAACACAACAGCAGGTGTGCCTCAAGGGTCTGTCCTTGGGCCTCTATTATATACACTACATGTACTATCCTTAAAAAATGCTAAGCTTAACTGTAGATATTTCAAATTTGCAGACGACACCGTTCTTGTATATAAAGATAAGGAGATTGAACTACTAAAAACAATGATAAGCACAGATCTCGCACGCTATTATGAGTGGCTTAAAAATAATAAACTTCAACTCAACACTAAAAAGACAACATATATAATTTTCACACAGAAAAACAAAAATGTACAAAATCTCACAGTGGAGATAGGAGGAGAAGAAATATCTCGAGTTCATGATGTTAAATATCTAGGATTAGTAGTTGATGAAAACCTAAATTGGTGTAATCATATTAACCACATAGAAAAAAAAGTAGTACCTATGATAGGTGCCCTATATCGCTGCAGAGACTACCTAAGCCCATCTTCATTACGCCAAATCTACAGTGCATATTTCTTATCAATATTTACATATTTAATTCCAATATGGGGTACATGTGGAATAACACTTTTCAATAGAATTAAAGTTCTTCAAAATAAAGTTATCAAAATCTTATTCAGGTTAAATTATAGAACATCAACAGATGCAATATACAAAGAAACTCAAATCCTACCAATTCAAGACAACTTGAAAATTGAGCAAGGGAAATTTGCATATAAGGTTATAAGAAATGAACTTAAATGTAATACCAACTTTACTTTTGTTAATCAGCTACATGATCACAATACCCGAACACAAAATAATATCTTCTTAGAACCTGTGCGTACCAATATGGGCCTAAACAACCCCATCAGTCAGTGCATGAAGACTTACAATACTCTTCCCAAAGAAATAACAGATAGCCCAAATGTTAGTATTTTTAAGAATCAGATAAAAAATTTCTATACTCATAAACTGAATGAGAGACCCACATAATTTTAAGTTGAGCAATGTAGGTTGTAGGTATATTGTAAACATTAGGGAGAGTTGTGATTAGATAGGTAGGTACATACTGTTTCCGCATCCTATGATATTATAGTTGATATACATATATAATCAATTTCGAATTGTAATTGTATATGTTGCAATTGTTTTTTTAGTAAGTTTTCCGAGACCAGCATTAGATGCTGCTTTGGATAAACCTTTGTCAGATACTGCATTAATATTTAACATTCATTTAACATATCTGTATATCTATATATTATATTTTTTTTTGTAGCACTATCTGAATAAAGTTCTTGAAAAAAAAAAAAAATTGATTGTGAAAAACAAACGTCCGACACCGGAATATAAAAAATCTGCTTGTAACAGGTAACAAACAAAATCGTTCGTTTAATTCTGATAATTATAAAAAATATATCTGGTTGAGGGGATCTGAGGTAAGGAATAAGCTATTTTGTTGGCACTGTGTATTATTTTCAACCGATAGGTAAGTCATCATGTTGGGGGCGATTAGGATATAATGATTTGAAAAATTCGCCTCGCGGATTGGATAGACACTGCAAATCACAGGAACACATCTCTTCAAGTATTAATTTCAGGTAAACTGGTAAACAGAATGTCATTAAAGCTATTGATTTGGGTGAGTCGTAGAGAGTTGTTTTTCACAATGAATCTCATATTATTCAGCCTCCTCTGTCATGAAAGTCACAAGCCGCCACTGGTGAAAAACTTTTTGTGCAAGAAACGAATATAACATCAGTCGTTTCTGATTTTGGAATGAATCATTCTGTAAATTGATTGATATATTTTCATCAACGAAAGTTTATAACGAAAAACTAATAATAGATCAGGGGAAGCAGGCAACAATATGGTAACTTTGAATTTGCTAATCAGAGTTTGATTCTCATAACAAGCACCATGTTTTGGAAACGATTTCATGAATGGAGAATGTTTGCTAAAAAAAAATAACATGGGGTTACTTCTTGAAATTAAGGGTAGGTCGATGTATCCAATTTTCGATTCGCCCAATTTTCGATTCACCCAATTTTTGATTCACCCAATTTTTGATTCGTCCAATTTTCGATTCATCCAATTTTCGATTCGCCCAATTTTCGATTCGCCCCAAATTCGATCCAACCAAATTTCGATTGAAACAAATTTCGATCGACCCGAATTTCGACGTAATATAAGGAACAAAAATATTCTTCATTATTTCAAATTTCTTGGGATTTTCTCTCCTCGTTTCAAACTACCTAACCTAACCTACCCAACTCGGCCTAAATGAATGTTTTCCCTAGAAAGTATACGTTTTGCATACTTAATTACCTTACTCGACCTAATAAGTGAATAATCTAATTTAGATCTATGATCTAACCTAACTCTGCCTGAATGAACCTTCCTAAATAGTATATTTTTCGCAAAATTGCTTGAAAGAACAAATATGAGACCCCTTTGTTCAAATAATCTAACTTGACTCGATCAACTGAATTTTCATATTAGAATGTATATTCATTTTTCAATAATCGAAAATTGGGCGAATCGAAAATCGGGTGAAACGAAATGTTGGCCCAACGACATATTTGAATGTGAAATGATTTTGTTGATAATTGTCGTTTTATTGAATCCGAGGAAATGTGGCATTATTTGACAACAAAACGCATATCTTTCGGGTATGAAAACTGGGCGAATCGAAAATTGGGTCAAACGAGACGTTCCCCAAATCATAAACAACAAGGAATCGGTTATTGTACATTCATACTCGTGTTAAAACACGTATTTTCTGAAGAAAGTCAGTGCATTTTTTACTGAGAACGAACTATATGCTAGTATAAAAATATTGGTGGATTCTGCATCCTACTTTATACTTCCGAAAGATGTCGTTATTGTAAGTCTTCGGTTGATCTCAGAAAGACCTATACCTATATAAGACATGGGGGAGTTTCCAACTGCTGGATAAAAAAGTTCTCGTATTTCCTCAGGGAGCGAGTTCTAGATGTCCATAAAAAGAATAAGTCGATGTAAAAATACTTTTACCTTTGCAGTTAATCACGCATTAGCCAAGTTTTATCAAGAGAGTATGATGGTTATCACAGTTAATCGCCGTTGAAACTATTGAAAGAAACCTGAAAGGAACATGGTTAGGTACTTGATATACTTCGTTCCGCTTTAAAGTTCCAAACAATGGAGCTCGACCTCATTTGGGAAGTGTTAAATAACAGGCTGAGCAGAGAAGTTGAGAGAAAATTGCTCAATTTTCAGCCTTACAGCGACATATTGAAGTACCTATAGACTTCAAGTTGGAATGCCATTATACTGGATTATCCCGTTAACTTCAACGTTTATTGAGGAATCTAATGTATCAAACAAACGGTTCAACGATGAGAAGGTATTTCTCATTCGGTCGGATCTGTGTTAGAATAAATGTTTGCATCAGTTACAATTACAAATTCTCACCTTTCTCTGTCCTTTGGAAATTCCATATAATTATTACAAACAAAAAACAGTATAACACAGTCGGTCGGCCACAAAAATTATATTAATAAATCAAATTTGTACACTACACTCTTTTACCACTGAACAAACCGATTTTTTAACGCCTCGACACGTGTTCAGGAGAAGATTAAAACTTTTACCGCTGCGAATATGGTTCTAAACTGAAAAATATGCGAACAAATAGGTATATATACCTACATTATGGAAAGTAGTAAGTTTGTTGTAGGTAACTTATAATTCTGAAAAACACATAATTCATTGATGAAACTCATCATATTTTCAATATGTTTGGGTCAAAAAAAATTAGATTTCCACGAAGTTATAGCATCCATTAGAAATACTTAATTGGGCAGAACTTATATTCAGAGCAAAATATTATAAATGTACTATGGAATCGAACCATCAAATCCTGTAATAACATCTCATAAAATCCAATAAAA